GTTTAAAACATAAATTTAATACTGTGGTGAGTTAACTATGGCTGGATGCCAGGTGCCCACCAAAGCTGCTCTGTCACTCCTCTCCTCAGGTGGATGGGGACATAAAAATAAGACAAAAGACTCGTGTTAAGATAAGAGCGGGGAGAGATCACTCACCAGTTGCCATCATGGGCAAAACAGACTCGATTTGGGGAAATTAATTTAATTTATTGACAGTCAAATCAGTAGGGTCATGAGAAATAAAACCAAATCTTAAAATGCCTTCACCCTACCCCTCCCTTCTTCCTGGCCTCAACTTCCTCCCCCTCAGCAATGCAGAGGGACAGGGAATAAGAGTTGCAGTTTGTTCATCACACGTTGTCTCTGCCACTCCTTCCTCCTCGCACTCTTGCCCTGCTCCATTGTGGGGTCCTCCCATGGGAGACAGTCCTCCACGAATTTCTCTAACATGGGTCCTTTCCATGGGCTTCAGTTCTGCACTGACTGTTCCAGCGTGGGTCCTTCACTAATTGTTCCGATGTGGGTCCCTTTCACGGGATGCAGTCCCTCAGGAACAGGCTGTTCCAAGGTGGGTCCCTCACGGGGTCACAACTCCTGACAGCACACCGGCTCCAGCTTGGGCTCCTCTCTCCTTGGAATCACAGGTCCTGCCAGGAGCCTGCTCCAGTGTGGCCTTCCCACAGGGTCACAGCCTCCTTTGGGTATCCACCTGCTCTGGCCTGGGTCCTCCATGGGCTGCAGGTGGATCTCTGCTCCACTGTGGACCTCCATGGGCTGCAAGTGGACAGGCTGCTTCACCATGATCTGCACCATGGTCTTCAGGGGAATCTTTGCTCTGGTGCCTGGAGCACCTCCTCCTGCTTCTTCTCTGGCCTTGGTGTCTGCAGTGATCTTTCTCCTACATGTTCTCACTCCTCTCTATGCAATTGGTCTTGTGCAGTGTTTTTGCCCTTCTTAACTATGTTATCCCAGAGGTGGTACCACTGTTTCTGATGGGCACTGGCCTGACCAGTCATGAGTCTGTCTTGGAGCAGCTGACATTGGCCCTTTTGGACACTGGGGAAGCTTCTGGCAGCTTCTCACAGAAGCCACCCCTGTAGCCCCCCCACCAGTACCAAAAGTTTTCAAAAGTTTCCAAACACAATACAAATACAAGAAATAAGTAATGTCAGCCAGGATGCACAATTATTCATGTGTAAAACTGATTCTTTCTTTAATTAGTTTTTTAAGCTAGAGATGTCCTTTTTTGTCTACCTTGAGCACACCTGTGGTTTAACTTATGGCTTACTGTCCTACAGAATGAATTACTATCCCTGCAGAATCTAAAATCTTTGAGTTTAGGTCAGTAACCCTGTTTCATTTAAGAAAATGGACTACTACTTTTTGGTCTTATCGCTACAGCTCACCGTTTTCTGCTGTATCTGCTTATAAATGTGTAATGTGAAAACTGCTCTTAGAAACAGTATGCTAATATCCTCTGAAGAAGTTGTTCTAATGATTCGGATTCCTTCCAGAGACTGAGGACTTCTTTCAAACAAGTCTAACTGAAAGACAGCTCTGTGATTAAAATTATGTCAGTTTCTTGTTCTTAAAAACTACAAATTTTGTCAAATACATTCTTAGCAATGTATTTGACAAAATTTGTCAAATTTTGTAGGTACTGTTTCTACATGTAGAGTACAAGCTAATAAATTCTTTCCATTGAAATTCTGAACTCATTCAAAGTCCTATTGCTAATACTGCTGCTTAAATGTAATTTGTTTAGTCTCGACTAGAAACTAAAACAGATTTAGAATAAGAATTTAGAATAAGTTAAGAGGGTAAAAAGAAAAGTTTTGACCTTTGTTAGCAAATTTTATTTCTTGTCTTCTTCTTGGTATGTTACATTTCAAAATCGATGTATGTCAACAGTGCAGTTGGCAGTGCCCCAAGGAGCAGCACATGTGCTCTTTCTGCAGTTGCATCTTTTAGTGCAACATAATAATCTTGGCGTGTGGAGTAACCTTCAGATAATCTTCCCAAAAGCCTCATGTAAAATCAGTTTCACTCTTGCTTTACTATAGATTGCACTGAAATGCAGCAGTAAGAAATAATGAGATTCAGGCTGTGACACATAAAACCAAACGTGTTCAGTCTAATCCAAAGCATGGGGGCCTGGAGCACATTCCTCTCCATTCTAGGAGTTGAGCTGGTTGTTCAAGGCCAGTGTGCTGCTAAGAACTGTGGCAGAGGAAAAGCTGCTAAAAATTAGGATCAGTGTCAGTTCTCCCTTATTTGATTCCAGAGCTGCTTTTAAGACAAGGCTCTTCTGGCTGGCTCCTGTCTTTGAGATGTTGCAGCTGTGTTGCAGCTCCATCTGTGCCTGGTCTCATATCTCCCTGATTCCAACTCTAACCCAGGTTCACTTTGTGGCTTGACCTTGGACTGTCTTGGGCTGCTCACCAGGCTGTTGCTGGCCCTGGTCACGATCTCAGGACTGACTCTCCCTGGCCTATGCAGCTTTCCTCTTGGTCCTGTGGTTCTCTTGCTGTGAGGAGCAAGTTCACTAAAGAAAATCCCATTTATAGCATAACAGGAATTTGTCAAAAGAGATGCTTTAGCAGGTTACATGTGTCAGCTTGGGCTCCACTGAGTCAAACGGGTGCTCATGGTCCTTTGTGCTGTGTGCCAGCAGTTTTAACAGTTGTTCCAGGAAATGGGCAATTGCTACTTTAGACTTGACTAGATCTTGAATTTTTGAAAGTCCATGCAATAATTCTAATAAGACATTATCTGGAAGAGGACCATTGAGCACCTTCTGTGACTCTTTAGACTCACCTGATGAAAAATCTTCTCTTATGAGTTATTGATAGAATACTATGCATGTTATTTTGTTTTTTGAAAATATCAGGTACTGTTTTCACATTTTTCCTGGGGAAATGCTAGTCATGTTATGTATTTTAGACTGGGTTCTCTAATCTATGTATAAATGATTACTCATGCTTTATACTTTTTGGTGTTTTTTAACAGCTTTCCATTGAAATTGGAACAGAAGTTAAAAACCAAAATAAAATGTTATCAGAAATGGTAAGTATGAAGTAACTAAATTTCTTTAAATACAGGGCAGGACTGAGAAGTTAGTAATGTAAAGCATCCTGGTTTTTAGTATGAACATTTTTATTAAAATGTTGACAGCTTATTGACTGTAACGTGACTGATTTGGTAACAGTATTTCTGTTCAAAAAGATAAGATGTGCAAATATGTTACTTTCAAGGCATAACCAAGGCCTTTTTACTTCAGATATGACTATTGATTTTCAATTAGAAAATGTATAGTACTATTAAAGAGGCAGTTCTATATTTAATTGTATTCAAGAATAGAAGAAGGAAGCAAAAAAATTAGAAAGTCAGAAATGCCTTTTTTTCTTGCACTTTGCTTTGGCTTGGGGAAAAAACAAGTTTTTCGTGGTTAATTTTTGCCTCTAAAATAATTTTAGTTTTGGAAATTTTGAAAAAACAAGGAATACTACACTTAGCGAGCTGTAAGGGTATTTCTTTTCTCAGAGTAACCTGTTTTTTATTGCTTTGTTTGCTTGTTTTTTTTTTAAATGTAGGAGAATGATTTCGACTCTACAGGTGGACTTTTAGGTGCAACTATGGGCAGACTGAGAACACTCTCCAGAGGAAGCCAGACAAAGCTATTATGTTATATGATGCTCTTTTCATTGTTTGTTTTTTTTGTAATATACTGGATTATTAAACTGAGGTGATGCACGGTACCTCTGGTTTACATTGTGTAATTTCAACTGCAGTCTTAATTAATGAAGACATTGATCTAAAGTGGCATATTCTGTTGATAAAAAATGGTGAAATTGTTCTAAATTGCATTAACTATTAATGCAATGGTATATATAGTTTTCTTAATATGTCAGAATTTTTCCCATCATCCCCTGTTTTGGGGGGGTGGATTGTAAATACACAGAAAGTGCATAGTAGGTGGCTTTTTTTAAGGGCAAATAGTTTTTAGAATTGATTTTAAAAATACAGAAAACAAGGGTTTTTCGAATATGAAGTAATTGCAGAATTACAAGGCTTTCTCTTTCATTCTGCTTTTCATTCTGCACCATGCTCTAAATTAGAGCTCCAGTTTCAGGCATGTAGTAATTTCTAGATTGCAAAAGCAATTGGTTTTATCTGTGGATTTTTAAAAGGCTGGCCTGAAGCTAACAAATGGTAAAAGTGGTACCACCAAAAATTACTTTTGTGGCTAGATCTGATAGTGTTTAAGTAGCTTAAACTGTGTGCTTAAATGGTATTTTGGGGAGAAGTTACTTAAAACTGGATTTTATTTTTTAATTCAAATGTGACAAATCATGCTTACACATCTCTTTTAAGCAAATGCCTTTGATCATTGGGATCAATCAGTATGGACACAGTACAAATGTTTTCTTTATATTTAAAGTATCAGAACTTAATGATTCCATTGAATCACAAACTTTTATCATTAGGATGTTTACTTTTCAATTTGTGATGGTCTCTAGATCTACACTGCATGATGCCTGAAATACAAGGGCAGATATTTTGAATTTTATATTAAAGTAAGTTATGATGCACCTGTTGGAGGTGCAGTCACAGTAAGGCTTTTATTTTGAGGACTTAACTTTGGCTCACCAAATAGTTTCTAATCGTTGAAGCTATTATATTAGTGAGTTTAACGTACAAAAAAATTAAGTTTCCTAGATATTCAAGTTGTATCTACAATTTTTGAAAGACTTTTCTAGAAATACTGTATAATGTGTTGCCATTAATAACTAATTATGAAGTGTCAAATAAAGTGTCTTGTAGTATTATTCTAGCTAGTGTTGTTCATATACATTCTTCTCTATTGTAGAATACCAGTATAATTTTTGGAAATGGTGCTGCATTTAAGGGGCAATTTTTTTTTTTTTAAATCCATAATACAGGCTCTCTCTTCTGGCTTAAATGACTGTTTTAGGAAGAGTTTAAGTAATTACGCGCAATTTTCATATTAACACGTTTAATATTTGTCTTTAATAATTACGCACAAAACATGGTACTTTGCTGCTGAAGTTCAGGCCTCCAAAATCTTCAGATACAATTAAAGAGTTGTTTATGGAATTCTGCAAATAAAAATCAACCACTACTCTCATCACCAAACATCCAGGACAGAGTTGATGTGAACTTGGCAAAGATGACACAGCTCATTGTCATGATTGCTTGCTAAAAGTGAAAGATAGGGAAGGTACCTGTAATTGAGAGCAAAGGCACTGTTCTAGTATTTGGACATGGCACAGAATCATTTGTGCCTTAATTATGGGTCTTAAAAGCAAAGCTACGCTGAAATTAGATTAAACTACTAATGAAATTGTAGCCGTATCCATATAGAAGTTCTGTTTCTTAATTGGTGGCATAGATGCTCTAAAATGTAGATAAAGCTTGATTAAAGAACACATTTTTTCTGTGTGCTTAGCATGGATCCTTGAAAAAGTTCAGTAACCTACTGAAAAAATGGAAAAATACCTTGCAGGAGGCTACATTCTCTCAGGCTGCTCTATATCAACAGAATTTTGACACTGGAGAACACATAGAATGGTAATGCTGAAAGACCTGGATGTGCATTTTGATGACAAAATTACCATTAAGTTTTCTACTCAAAATGTACTGGCTGTTTACCTTCAGTGTGCAGCACAAGCCATGCTCTTGCTGTCCTAATTTTCCAGAAAGAGTGGAGCTGTTTCACTTGCTTGGAAGTATTTCCATGTATTTGCATATGATGGAAAGCATGGTTTCATCTGTCCCACCTCCTATTGACATCAATCTCAAGTCTCTGTAGAAATATAAAGAGTAGATTTAAACATGTGCATGCTGTTCTGATGGTTTTCTGCTGGGAAACCCGATGAGATTACCTACATGTGTCATACTAATTCCAGATGCCTGCAGAACACCTCAGCCACTGCCTCCTCCTGGGGAGGTGGTCTGTGATACTTCCCTCAATATCCCTGCTGGTCCTCTCCCAAAGCAGTAGGTGCCTAAGCCTGCAGTTGAACTTTAAGAGGGGAGGGAGTTTTTCCAGGGCCAGCAGCAAAAAGTGTTGCAGCCCTTAAGTTTGATGAACTGTGTGGTAAATAAGAGTCAGTCAGTACACGAGAATCGTACAGAGAGGGTACAATTTTCATTCAGGTTTTTTAACCAGTAAGCATCCTGGTCTCCCTAATGGCTAATGTGAGACCTAGCAGAACACATATATATTATATAGCGGTATAGTGTTGTATAGTATTCTAGTATAGTTTTATATAGTCTGTAAAGCTGCTGTGCTTTAAAAAGGAATGGCTGCTCCAAGAAGATTTACTTTCAGTTTGATATATCTAATCACAGTCATTTAAAACCTGCCATTAACATCACTGAGTCATCCCTAGCAGTATTGCCTAAATTTCCTGTGCTAGCCAGATTGCAAAATACTGCAACCTCAAGCAACTTTACTCACAAATTTCTTTTCTCCTTTGGGGAGAATTAAAAACCACCATCGTCAACAAAAAAACCTACCGAAACAGTTCTAAACTACCTCTACTTAATAATCTGAAGATTCCCCACCTTCCTACAGGCCTTGTTGAAGGCTGCGGAGCTGGAACAATGGTAGGTTACTTGTTCTTAGTGCTGCAGTGTTGCCTGCTTTGTCAAGCTGCAGAAAGCCCCTGCCCATGCTCAGCATTTTGCATCTTCACTGTAGCACCAGCAAGTAACTAATTCTTAGGACTCTTCTGTGATGCCAGTAAGAATCCTCCATTTGCAGCAGGAGTCCTGGACACGTGGCTTGTTTATAAGGTGTTAGAAATGGGCACTGGGTTTGGTGGTGTGTGTGACAGAAAAGTCAGGTTGTCATGTATAAAGACACGTTTTAAAAAAATAAAACAGCTTTCACATATGTTTTGTGCATGTGTGTATCTTTACAAAGTTCCTAGTAATTATGTTTTTGTAGGAGTGAGATAAGGAGTATTTCTTATATAATCTACAGAGAAGTGATTAATGGTGATCTCTCTCCTGGGGAGACAGGGTGGAAGGTTTCTCCTAATTTAACGAGATCAAGATGACAAAAGACTCAAGTGATTTTAATCTAGCAACCCTCTTCTGGGAAAGAGGCTTTCAGAATAAGAAAACAAAATCATAGGACCAGCTATCCTGCCAGGAACTGCAAGGAAGCTGGGAAAGAGGACATAGTAAAGTAAGCTTTTATATCAGCTATTTATTGTATGCTTTTGGTTTGATAGTTTATATTATATCAATAATGCATAGTTAATATGGCACATAAATATTTTAATACCTATAAATATTAGAACTTAATTGCTTTACTTAAGCTACCTCTAGAATCTTTTCATCTGGCACAGTGACACTTTGCTTTCTGATTTTTCCATCGCCTTGTTACTGCCTCATGACAGAGCAGCAAGTTCTGCTCTACTACAGCGCCACTGAGGTGAGCACCGACCTGTCATGGCTTCACCCTGACCAAGGACAGTTAGGAACCAGCCTGCAATACACCATGCAGTTTTGTGAAGGTGTCCTTCTGAGGGACCAAACCTCTAGCTGCTTGTTGAATGCTGAGAGAGTGGGAGTTAGCCTGAGGAAAGAGAGAAATCCAGCTATTGTGTTCTATCCCTCTAAAACACTCCCTGCAAAGAGTTTCTTCTCATTCGGGAAATACCATGCATCTGATACACTCACTATAGATTATAAGACTTATCCTACTCAACCAAATCAAGAGATGTAAATGTTGAAAAAGTAATCCAACTTTTTGACAAAGAAAAAATTCCTAAAAGCCAAGTTAAAAAACTGCACTTATGAGGGAGCGTAAGGAGCCATTCCCACTCAATCCAGGTTATCAATAATTTCTAGTTATGTAGCAAAAGGAACAAAGAGAACCCTCTGTGTTGTCAAATCATGTTTCCCATCTCCATAGGTAATGTCATATAGCCTTCAGAAATGTGTCAAGCACTGCTTTGAGGAGAAAAAACAAGCTCCCTTTAATCTTGGACTATCCTAATTTGAAGGCTGTCAGATAACAAGGTTATTCTAATGATTAGGAACCCTCTAATTTACAGCCTGGATGTGTTTCTGAGTAGTATAATCCAATATAGTCCGCAGTTTAACATTCCTCTGTTGGCTGATGTTGACCCCCTGCGTTCTGAGGGCCATTCAGCCTTTGCTTGCACAAGCTAAGCCATGTCCATTACACTGCCTGTAAAGCAGGCAGCAAGTTTTGGTGACTCGAGCCTTGGTTTTCCCTAGTAGCCTGGCTTCATGGCAGTAGTCCCTCAGGAGTCGTGCTCTCTGATTCCCTGGTTAGGAGGCCATTGGTAAATCCATACCAAGGTTTATGTGGCTTAGAGTAGCACTGCTTCCCAGTGGGACATTTTTTACACTGCTTCTTTTCAGCACAAATTGCACTTGATTACAAAATGTTTACCCTTTTTTTCTCAACAATTACTATTTTTAGGTTGCATTACTGGCAAGATTTTTCTCCACAAAATATACTGATGCACCCTCAAGCTTAATATTTTGTGATTTCTTCAATTTTCAGACTCAGCTAGTTTGCCTATAGGCTGTCCAAATCAAGCAAAATCTAAAGGAGACTGACCACAGGGAGAAGTTTGAGCTGATGCCGCCCAGTACAGCAGGTCTCTGGCCAGGCTGCCACAGCCCAGACACCCAAGGCTGTGCTTGCTAGTTCCCATGGCCCTGCTCTTTCCATTTAGGGACATTCTGAAGACCTAGCTGAAGAAATGGGCATCACCTTGGCCTGCTCTGGAGTGTAGCTCTGCTGTAAAGTCATCACTGTACAGTTGGTTGCTTTGATTTGCCATCTTAGAGCTAGGTGTCACGTGCTTTATCTCCTAAATTCCCTGTCAAGATACTCATAAAAGTTAAACAAAGTGGTAGACAGGCATCTGTTTGTCTCAAAGCCTCTGCAGAAAAAGGCTGAAACTACAGATATTGTTTCACAGATGACAGAAATTAATATTAAGCCTTATCTCAGCAATTAGCTACAGACTTCAAAGCAAATTGTTTTTGTCAGCAGAAATGGATGGATAGGTTTCATTTTGTTTGGTACAACCATAAATGGTTATAATGACAAAAACTGATTAAAAAAACCCAATTGTCTAGACTCACTCAAGTTTAGAGATTCTTTGTAAAGAAAGACTATAAACAACAAAATAAACTGAATAAAATATTTCAAATTACTTTTTAAATATGTGAAGGATACAAAAACAGAAGGAAATGCATTACTTATAAAAAAATCCACTTAAAACTGTACAGAAGTTTGTTTTTTTAACTATCCTCAGTTACAGGTAGAACTTCATATTGCAATAACAGGGGAAAATTGAAATCTATGTTTGTTCTGCAGCTGTGTGTATTTGCAATGCTACTTACACTTCTATTTCACATGAATAGTCAATATTTTTCACTGCTGCTTTCTTGATTCTTTCACAACGCAGCAAGTGAAGAAATGATAGCATTCTCCCCCTCACAGCCCACAAGAGTAAAACTTGTAAGAACTGGCAGCAGTTAGACATGGTGATTAGTAACATTAGTCACAATCTTAATTTAAAAAAAATCAACTCTTTTAAGAAGGCCACACAAGTTCTTCCTATAACAATTGAAGTGTACATAATTAGTATTATAATCACTATTAGATCACTACCTGAAATTTTTAAAAACTCTTTAAATCTGAAAAATTGCAATAAACTTGCTACTAGAAGGTTTCTTCCCTCTGATCTCTCATAAACTGGGGTTTTCATATAGATGATGGGTTTGTTCAGTAATTGATTTTTCCCAAGTCATGATGGCTTTGAGGCCTTTCAGACAAGGGAGAGAAAAATAAACAATCATGACTCCAGGCTACTGCTCTCCTTCTCTAGAATCCTGCTAGTAGGGTATATACTGGAAAGTCCATTCTTCATGTTTTTTATATTGGCTTTTATATTGGCTTTTATTTTTCTATGATACCCTTTGATATTTGGGCTCTAAACTTTTTTTAAAAACCCATTCTCCTTATCAGAATTCATACAACTGAAAATAAACATTTACATATATAAAATCAGCCCCAGTATAGACACCTACATGGTGAAGCAGCTCTCTTTATGCCTTCTAGAGAATACTGCACTTAAGAAATGTCAGTTGTTCTACAAGGTTTAAAATACTCATGATTAAAATGACAGAAATGAATAAAGTAATCTGGCAAACAGTTTTGTTCCATTTCTGTTAATTATCTCTGACCGACAGTAATAACTAAAATTCAAAGACTTCATGCACTAACCATGCATTGTGCTGTGTGTTCTTTGAGAAGTCTTTGAGCCCAACATGTCAAAGACTATCCAACATTTCCTTGGAAACTTTGTGAGGATTATGCTACAAAAATATTTGTGCATTAGGACTAGATGTCATGCTGTGCAGTTATACTGCTACTACTTAAGAAATATCACAGTGACGTGAATGGTTACTCAAACTGCTGTACTGAAAAGAACAGATTTGGGAAAGTTGCTGCATTGCTTATAGTTACAGATTAACAAGATTCTCACTTGAACTTGTAATTGTTTATTTAGGTAATACTCTACTTGTCCCTTCCTGGACCTTTGGTTACTCAATGATGGAATTTTACTGATTCACAGAACAGTTTAGAGTATAAATATCTTACCACCTTTAGCCTCATTTATAAAGGTGTTTGTGTTAGAGGCAGAAAGATAACGTTTCTTTAGCCAGCTGATCATGTATACCAATAGGAAACACTCTGGATTTCTCATCAAGAAAAATGTGACTGTGCTGGTGTACTTGGAAACCACTCTGGAATCCACAGAGAAAACCTCTGCTCACAGCTAGCAATGCTATGCTGGGCTAGGAAATCTTAAGACAAAACAAAGCTATATATAGCACATACACATTAATCTGTACAGACTACAACATTTACAGTAAGTGCTTCAAGACAGAGATTCATTTTATTCAGAGTGCCTACTGCAGCTTTTAACACCTCCATCACCAGGGACTATTAGTTGTTAATAGAGGCTGTGAATAACATAACTAAGAAAAAACATCATAATGAAAGCTGGCTTAAAACCACCACCATAAAACAGTCCGTACCTTCACTAGGAAATTTCAGGAATCCACAAGTCAAAAAATGTTGAGGCTCTCTCTGATTTACTACAATGGCATTCTTATTCATAAAATGCTATTAAAAATAGAAAAAGTAACTCAACCTTCTAAGAAGAAACAAGCTTTTTGCAGATTTTCTTGAGTGTTCTGCTCTCACTTTACACAGATACATTTACCAAAACTTTCAACTAGCTAAACCACTTATTTTGCTAACCTTTGATTAGGTATTTTGTATGTAAGGGCTGAGTGCAAACCTGTTACTGCAAGAAAATTCAAGTTGCATTTTGGTCTATCTACAGAACATAAGACACTGGAGCCAGAACTTTCCTGAAGCTACCAAGAAAGCTGTTTGCTTAGAGAGAATTATGCTCTAAGTAGATATAGAGTAAAATTTGAAGGGGCTTCAATTAATTTGCAAAAAGGCCTCTGTACCATTTTAATGGTCTAACAACTTGCTGGAAGCATCTACCTGTCTCATAGGTCTCACACAGTATTTGGTGTGACTAACCAGGTGGAGACTGCTATCAGAAAAGACAACTGCAGAAGCCAAGTGGGGAACTCCAGTTTCACACACGTGGGGAAAAAGATAAAGCTGATTTTCATTCATTTTGGAAGAAAGCTTCTCGTTTATTTCTGTCCTTATAATCAAGACTACAAGCAAACAAAAAGCAATGAGAAAAGAAAAAATCACTTGCTGCTAGCCCTTTTTTCCTTTGTTCTACTGTCCTTTGTTCTACTTCCTTTGTTCTCTGTCTACCAGAGGACCATCAGGGAAAATATTGAGTTTATTTGACATCTAAGCCAACCTGTGGATAGTTCAGACTTCACAATTGTAATGCAAAGCCAAGATTTGGCAAAGGAATAGTCAGCCTGTGTCGTGACACACATCACCCCAAAATCAATTGCACTGTGTGTCCTTGCATCCACAACGCACATCAGTGACGTACCATTCCGTAGAACAACACCGTTCACGCTGGCTGGGAGCTGGTGCCCTTTTCAAGTAGGTTATCTTTTAGCAGGACATTTAAGAGGCCAAATTTCACCACTTGCTTACCTGTAAAACCTGCTCACCAGAACTTCACTGGTGAATCCCATTCCTCCCCAAAACTGGAGACAGCTGTCAGTCACTTCACGGGCCAGACGTCCTGCCTTTAGCTTAGCCATGGAAGCGTATTTTGTCACGTCATTTCCTTCTACATACAGAGCTAATAAAGAGGATAAAAAAGGAGTCACTGGCCACAGCTTGCCTCTCTGGAAAGCACCTCCCTGTGTTACTTTAGCCTGACGAGGTTCTTTGCATGAAGAGAAGCACATCTGGGAAGGCAGATGTGGGAGCTCACCAACAGCACGGTGCAGCAGCGAGCGAAGGAGCTCCACTTCGGTTGCCAGCTCGGCCAGGCGGAAGTGCACGGTTTGGTTGTGCAGGACAGACTGGTCAAACACCTTCCGCTGGCGGGTGTAGTCAATAGTTTCTTGTATTATAGTTTCCAGTGGTGTCAGGACTTGAAGAAGCAAAGCATAGAACAAGACATGGTTTTAGCCAGATCTGTTGTTTAGCTTCTTGTTGAAAAAGATGTTTTTCTCACATTGTATAACCAATACATTAGGTTTTCTAAAGCAAGTTGTTCTACACACTTAGTTGGGGTGCAACTTCAATCCTGAAAAAAGCCCTCCTTGTACCTTAAAGACATCTATCTCACCTGAGCCCCAAACTGCCAAAACTTGGAGGAAAATCAAGGGAGGTGGATAGAAGGGAAGGAAAGTCATAGAAAGCAGTACATCATGATGAGTATATAAACTTTATCCTTAATGCCTCATTTGGGGCCTTAGCAAAAGCCTGTAGTAACTCCTACTTTCCATTCTGCCTGTGTCCTGAGGGTTTGTTACAATCCCTGAAAAAATCTGAAGGCAGACAGTGTAGTGTGCTCAGTGAGGGATGCTGTAGAAATGTAAATTGCAGGAAGCTTTCAGGGAGAAGGCAGAAACCTATTCCAAGATCAAAGAACACAAATTTACTGCTTATTATATCTGCATTCTGTAATTGGATTCCAGCATAGAAAAGAAGGGAAAAGATTCACAGCCACTTTTAATAAATGTTAAATAGTTCTTCTAATGGGAACAGAATCAAAATAGGATACTACTGGAAAACAGGTTAGAGAGATGGCAGACACTGCTTTAAAGCAAGAGAACTAGTTTGCTGCTTCTCTTTGCGCAAACTGAAAGACACCCCATTTTAAACAAGAAGAAAAGGGAGAAGTTTCTTTTCCAAGGCCATCCTTGAAGTGAAGGACTAGGCTATCAGTCTCTTGCAGCTTAGCTAGGATAAGAGCAGGTGCTGAATATGTGGAGAAATTTGTTTGGCAAATGTGGGCCCATGTCCCTATGGCAAGGAGCAGTGACAGTTCACAAATCCATCTGTGTAAGAAGGGTCACATTTTCTCTTTTCAAAATATGCATATCCACCTCAATTTACATTTAGAGTCTAAACCACAAAACTCTGAATCTGAAATGCAAAATAGAACCGAGCCCTGGACTACTACAAAATCCCTTTTCCTACCTGTCAGTTACTCACATGAGAGTCCCTTACAGGAGCCTGATGTGGTTCCATATTCCTTTTTGCATTTCTTTCAAGATCACCTCTATTTAAATTTCATCTCTGTTCTGCTCTCATATGCAGACTCCACATCCCACCAATTTCCTCGTGCCATGATCATTTACCAGCTCTTCCACAGAGCACCATTTTTCACATGATGTCCCCACATTCCATAATCATCAGCTTTTGTCATTTCCTAAGTATTTTCCCTTCCTTTCTCATACAACTAGCCTCAATGCTTATTTTTCAAAAGAGCATATACAGTAATGTCCTCATTTCTTCTGTGTTATTACACTATGCTGCCACACTAATGCTGGTTTTCTGGACAGGAAACTAAATTTCTGTTTTCAGGAACATCTCTTGAACAGAAATATTGTTATTCCAAAGGATTATGTCACACAACACTGTGGTATGTATAATACCAACAGCTTTTTCACTTGTATTTCTATGGTCTCCAGCTTGAGAGATGCTAAAGAAACAGGAAGGGGTGTCCAGGTACCCTTTGTCCCCTGCCCCCAGACCAAAACCTGGGAAGCATACAGCTGAGTCTGAGCTGCTGGGAGGGAAACTAAACTGTACGTGCCAGTGCTAGGAGAGCAGAAGGAAGGCAGTAGGGATAAGGACAATCTTTAGTTGATCTGTCAGAGCAAGGTGCTCTAGCACAGCTTGTGTGGTTCCCAGCATCCAGCACCAGGGAAAGAGGAGATGGGAAACAACAAAGAGGAGGAAGGAGCAGGACCAGATGGGAGGGAACAGAACAACAACTGTTTAGGTCCTGCTTGCAAAAGGTCTGAAGATCATGAAGGGGCTTTGGCCCATCTCTGCTCAGGCTGTCACCATGCATCATGGCTCAGAGCGGGTTCCTGAGAAAACTGCTCCCATAGTATCCACCTCTCCACTTCACTGCCTCCTTCCTGCCCCTGCTGATCCAACCTCCTATTTCCTTAGCTGCCCTTCTGCTTTTTCCAGGAACTGCCATTTGCACACAGAAATAAACAGAGAAAATCTTCTTAGGACTGCCCTGGGCTGCATCAAAAGCAGCATGGCCACCAGGTCAAGGGAGGTGATTCTCCTCCTCTACTCCATTCTTCAGAAACCCCACCTGCATCCAGAGCTGGAGCCCACAGTACAAAGCAGACACTGAGCTGTTGGAGCAGGTCCAAAGGAAGATCCTGAAGAAGATTAAAGGGATGGAGCATTTCTCCCATGAGAACAGGCTGAGAGAGTAGGGGTTGTTCAGCCTGGAGCAGTGAAGGCTCTGGGGAGACCTTATTGCAGCCTTTCCATATATAAAGGGAGCTTGTAAGAAAGATTGTGACTTTTTATCAGAAGTAGTGACAGAATAAGGGGCACTGGTTTTAAACTGAAAGAGAGGAAATTTAGATTGAACATAAGGAAGAATGGTATTGGGGTAGGAACTAGATCTTTAGGTCCCTTCCAAGCCAAGCCATTCTATCATTCTATCATTCTATGAGTCTAAGAAATCCTTATGATGAAAGTGGTGAACAGGTTGCCCAGAGAAATTGTGGATGTCCCATCCCATCAAGGAGGTTGGATGAGGCTCTGAGCAACCTGGTCTAGTGCAAGATGTTAGACTTGATGGTCTTTAAAGGTCCCTTCCAACACTAACTCTTCTGTGATGATATGACTACAGGTATTTAGAGCTATGAACATAGCTCTAACATGGCAAGGTCTAGCTGTGCAGCAAACAGCAATGAAATGCAGCAGATCAAGAATACCATGATGGCCAACAGCCTTGTGCAACATAACAGCACACAATACTTTGCTGGTCATACCAGTACAGAGAAATGCCATTCACAACACTGAAACCCATTTTCCCTAAGAATTTTTTCCTCCCTTATATTTGTTTCCATTTTTCATCATAAAGTGTTCTCCACATCATCAGACAAATGTAGCCCCATGGGTTTCACCTGACAGCATATGCAGGAAATCTCACTCTAGGGCAGCCTAAGGAATGCATGATCTACCACACAGCTGAGAATTGTGAAAGCACTTGAAGTTGCCAAATGCAGAATAATCTTTTCCTCATACGTCCATCCAACTTATATTTTTCCACTTGAAACTTCTTCTCAATGTAAAGATGCTTTGCTTTGCTATGTTTCCTCTCAAAAGAAAAGGAAATAGATATATTTTTCTTAGGTTGTGGCTGTAGTGAGACGTCCAGTGAGCTCTTAAGCTGAGCAATCTGTCTCTTAAGGACATGTGTTGCCCATGCAAAAGGACCTGTCATCCTGGTTACTGGCCATGACTCAATGGTGCTCGTAAAATTGAGATTGCAGGAGCAGATAGAAGTAATTAGAAAAGTGCCATTCTGCTCTCTCACGGACACTGAGACACCCTCTTTGTCTCCAAGTTAAGCAATTCACAGAACAACTGTTTGCTTTCTTGTCATAGCAACATTCTTTCCCTGTGATCAGTGCAACAGGTCCTCAAATGGACAGTATTTACCAAGTGTCACAACATGGCAGACACACGTGGCAGCTCTTCTCTTTCCATGAAGCAAGAAACACAGCGACTTTGACCAATGTCTTTGATAATGTGTCACTCAGAAGGAAAGACCACACCTGGAACCAAATTTTGCGATTCCAGGAAGTTAGTTTTCCATCTCTATTTTAAATCTGTTCGACCAAAAATACATTTTAAAAGAAAAAAATCAGTGAAGAAGGAAACTGGCCACAAAGAATATAATTAATAAAAAGAAGGCTGGGGCACATGGTACTTGAAACTAAAAATACATAAAAAACAACCAACCAAACCAAAAACCCACCCACAACAACAAAAAAAACCAAACACAACAAAACTAAACCCAAAAAGGAAAGGTAGACAAGAATGGCAATCAACTGCCTTCTCCAAGTTTTAGGAAGCAGTGAAAGTGAGGATGCCAGGACTGATCTGGAAAGTGTTTAAAAGCAGACTGACAATTTTCAATGTTGCATGAATAGCCATGAACTGGGAAGGAATGGAAACATCATTCTGAGGGGAAGAAGTGACGATGAGGATTAAATGTGCAGACCTAATCACAAAACTACTGAAGGCATGTACATTGTTTCGCACATCTGAGAGCCTTCAGCAAAACACTTGTGGTTGGACATAGGTAAAACTATTTGCAGGAGTGGAAGTTAACAGCTAGATGTTGTGGTGTAACAAATCTCACTGATCAAATATTGGGCTCCCTTCTAAACAAGGGTTTCTAGTTTACCACAAATGGTTACCCCCAAAGTTTGGAACACTGCCTAAACCATAGGTCTTGCCCCTGCTCCCAGTGCTTTCATGCATTTTATATCAGAGAGTGGATAAAAGCAAAAGCAGGGGGCTCAGCAAGGTATAACACAGTAGCCAGCACACTGCAGGAGGCAGATCCCTCTCTCTTGGTGAGCTCCAAGGCTCTTCTTCCCTGATGGCCTCTCCCTGGCCTTCCCAGGCTGCTCATGCAAGGTAAGGGTTCACCTGCTTCCACTGGGTTGTTCTAGGGAAAAAGAAGAATTGAAATCTTGTGTCCCATTTCCTGGCAGAGCATGGTGACTGCCAAGTAGTTGTGCAAGGCTGGACAGTACCAAGCTGTCAGTGGTTTTAACAGGAGTGATCTAACCTGCCAGGCTTTGTGTGTCAATGCTGTTAGTGCACGTCACTTTTGCCTGGGGCATGACTAATGCTGCGAGCTACTCTGCTGCCTGGGGAGACTCACTGCAACTCAGAGCTTCTGATGGTTTGTTTAATTTAGACTTCAAACCAAGCATAAAAATGCACAATGCACATCCTTGCAGTCTGCATACTCCTTGATTAAAACAGGACCAGTGGTAGGATCACATCTCTGGCTTGCCTGAGCCTGCAGTGACGTCCCTTGCAAGTGTAACCTCCGGTCCTTTGCTAAAACTACTCTCAGGCTTCCTATTTATCTCAGGCTCTCAAACCAAAGATTTTTGTTTTAAAGCATTTGAACTCCAAAATATTTGGTCTGGGATCAACTCAAAACAGAGAGTCATTTTTTATTTGCTCACTGAATCAAAACACCACTTCTTAGTATTCCAAATTCCCCAGCCACACACAGACAGTAGAGACAGGGAATGTGCAAGAGCACAAATACAGTGACATGATTAAGACAACCCTGAAATTTAAAGAGGACCAATTTTCTTACCGTGAACCACATTATATTTAACTTCAAGAAGCAAACACTGGTGGATAGGGGGAAAGTTTGGAGGTCGAAAATGGACCATCCACACTTGGATCTGGTTTTCTGGAATATCCACAAGCCATACAACTCAAGTACATGGATTTGAGTACTGCCTGAGTTCTGAGTAACAGAAAGAAACTCTGAAAACATAATTTCAGGGAAAGGAATTTGGTGTTGTACCAATTTGGTGCTGTACAGTGGTAAAACAGATCTGCAAAAACAAAGCTCTGGCATCCTGTAAGAGACACTTCTTTACACAGCCAATAAGTTAAATTTCTAAAATCCAGGATAAATATCATCATTTACTGTACTACAGGAGAAGTCAACGTCCTTCTATTTCATGCCAGTATTTTGTTAGCCTTTGCACTATATTTGTAGCAAACATAACAGGATGCCATATTTTCTTATCAGCAGAGAAGCACCAAGAGAAGGAAACAAAACAGCCTCTGTGATGCCTCACAAAATGCCTTCTATTTCAGGTTTTTCCAGAGAAACTGAAGTTTGTCTGTATCTAGGCTATGACAGATTTCAAAAACAGATCGTAAAATATCATTGCAGCTTACAAGAAAAGGAAAGTGCTGTTAGTCATGAGAAGAGTGACCCTTGTGTCCCTACCCAGCCACAGAAGCGCAAATGATGACTTACCAGTGGCTACTCCCCACAGCCGCTCTTCTTGGAATTGCAACATCTGATATGTAAAACCCTTTCCTTCCTCACCAATGAGGTTTTTGCTGGGGACCTTTACATCTTCAAAAAAGATCTGAGCTGTATCCGATGATCTCATGCCCAGTTTGTCTATCTTTTTAGCAACATGAATGCCTAAAGAAAAAGGGGTATTAGAAAGGCCTCAAAAAATGAAAGCACTATGAACAAGTACAGCGTTTTCAGAAAGAAAAGTTTGCAGATGTGAAGGTACGTTCCAAGACTACAGTGAAACCTACCTTTAGGAAAAACCCAACAGTATTCTGGAGTAAAATGGCCCAAAACCCCTTTCGAAGACTTTTTCCATTTTATTTAACCAGCAAATCAGAAACTTGAATTGTAAAGGTCCCACTTTTCATTATGTCCCCAAATAATAAATGTTTACTAGTCATAATAATCTCACTTCAGGCACACATTCAAACAATGCATTATTTATTTGCTTATGTTTGATTTTTATCTAGCATTGTAATATAGTGCTGGAATTCAATCTGGCAGTATTTGCTGAGTGCCTGCACTGCTGTGAAACAGTAGAGAAATATTCAATAATGACAAAAATAGAGCTATGTTTTAAGGTGCAACTAGAGAATTTCTCCCTCTGGAAATCCTCTTCCTTCTCTCTCTTCCTCATTTGTTCTCCCCTTTCTATCCCATCCTGATTTTTTCTGGAACAATGATCATTATTCATTCCTCTGATTTTTCATGTGGACGTGTTTGTGGGAGGGTTTGCTTCCACAGAGACCTTCCTACACTGCACTGATTCTGACCCCACACGCAATGGTCTGTTGAAGATGAACCCATTTCCTTCAGGTCTGTCTATGTAAGAGTTCAGCTACCCCATCACACCAGGCAGAACTCCTTCCTGTTGTTTGTTTTTTCATAGCTTCAAGCTCTTTCTTCCTATTGTTCAGATGCAAACATGGCTTATACCACTGTGCCATGAGAGTCTAACAGGCACCTACTGTTTTCTTGTGGCAATTCCATTGCCTTCAGGTTTTACCTTCCTGTTGCTCTGAGGCTAATGCAATTATTCAGGATGAAAGCCAAGAATGGTTCAAAGGTAAAAGAAGGACAGCAACCAGGCATGAAATATCGAGCAAAACCTGCTAATTTACAACTGCCAAGTCAATACGTAGAAAAACTGTCTTCCAAATCAACATGTGTATCTTTGCAGAAAACCAAGCCTTTTTGCTATCCACATACATAGTATTCTAATCAGTTTTGTGATGAGGAGGTATTCTGTTAATATTTTTCTCTTTATTCTATCTTTTTCAATCCTCTACTACTCTCTAACATGGCTCAGTAGGAGCTGGTCACCACACACAGATTGTTGTGGTCCCTCTGTACTGGTTTGTACCTTGCTATCCTTCCTGGATTTCAGAGAACATCTATTTCAAACTAATGTAGATATCTCAACTTCTACTCATAGGAGGCTTTCAGCCATGTGAAAATCACTTTGGTTTTGCAGGCAGAAGAAGTTGGCAGTCATTTCCTTCAAATTCACTCTCTGGCTGCACTGAATAAGGTTGTGGAAAGTTTCATCTCTTCACAGAGATGAAATACTGACAGTATTTCCAAATGCCAAGGCTGCTCTCAGAATAAGGTCCACATAGACATCCACAATTTTCACTCTAGATTTTCCCCCGCCAACCAATCTGTAAACAGATTATGAGTTAGGAATACTTGCTTTGATATGTGTTCAATGCGGGAAGAAAATCAGGACAGCTGTAAAAAAATTCTTGACTCTTGAATTGAAAATTATCCAGCAATTTGCACCCAGTCAGCCAAAAAAGCATTTATGGTTTGTTTCTGTATTAAAATCAGAGCTAAACAACCACATACTGAGCCATTTACAGGCCCAAATGATTTCTGGAACATTGTTTCCCATTGGAATATTACTACTTGGTTTCTTTGAGAGTCTCAAAGATCATGTCTTTGGTCTAAAGCCAGCTGGTTTTATGCAATCACTGTTCCTCACTCATATGAAGATGCACTTACTGCTCTTGTTAGTGGGTGGTTTACTAAGGTCTCTTCTGGAAAAAGCACAACTGCTGCCAGTTCTTATATTACTAAATCAATCCTGTTGTTTTCTTCCCAGATCCACATACAACAACAACTGTTGAGGAGAGCTCTAACAGGTTTGGCTGAACTAGCTAAATGTGCTAATAATTTCTATTTGTAATTCTTCCAGATTGGGTTGTGTGTTCAAGTTTCATGAATCCAGCAGTATCTTCCTTTGTCATGCCCCACCAGTTTCACTTGCTCTTAGATTAATTCATGTTTCTCTCACAGAAGGAGGCCAAGCTGCATCAGCCTCCTATAATACTCCTTCTGTTGCTAGCACAGGCTTTACATTTTGGAAGACAGTGATACATAATTATCTCTTTGGCCAACATATGGGCATAAAAATCTTCCTTTACTTCATTTAATTATCTTCCTTCTCTTCATAAGGGGTACTATAAATGAAAAATTACCAGCAGCAGTACGTGCCCAGATAACTCCTGGAATTTGTCTGTATTAAATAAATCACACACAATAACAAAAAAATCTTTATTTATTAAGGCCAAGTGCTCGACTCACTAAAAGCATTCTAACAGAGCTATTTATGTTTCTTGCACCAGTATCACTGAGATGGATTGCTCTATTTCTTCCTGGGAAGTTCTTCCCAGACATCTTTGATTTTTCATTTTCTCCCACTCCTCAAGCCATCTGACAATCTCTTTTATTTCCTATATTCTATCTCACGAGAAAGGCAGTTGCTCTCTCCTAACACCATTTAGTGCCATTACAAATGGAAACAGACATGTTCGAAATTGCAACCTGAGAAATGTGCTCTTTTCCTTCTCCTGGATGCTTTTCTCTTTATTAACTCCTCCTTGCAACCTACTCTAGTGCTATCTGAGGGCTCAGAGGACAAATACTTACCAGATTAGAGCTGCAAGCCATTTATATACCTTACACACAGACATTTTACAACTTGTTAGATTATTTTTCCTCCTATGAAAAATTCAGCCTTTTTTTTTTAAAGAAACTGTAAGTATGAGGACTATTCACCTAATTTGGATATCTACTGTGCATCCACACTGCTGCTACTGAAATTCCCTTTATGAGAAATGTATTCAGCAGTCTCTGTCAAACTAGACCATGATTTGCTTCACCTCAGAATAGACAGTGTATACATCTAAAATTAGACAAAGCAAACCCTACTTCATATCTCCAATGAACTATCAATTGCTGAAATTAATAATTTGCTTTCAGACTTGAAACTTTTTTCTCTTTTTTTCCCCCACCACATCACAGAAATATGAAATTATTTAGATTTTCATGAAAAATTATGGACCCTGCATGATGGATCATTCATTACCCAGACATATAGGCTGGTGACTGCAGCAGTGAGTCAGACATTTGCTCTCCATTGCAGCTGTTCTGGAGCTTTGACACACATAGATCCACAGACGTTTGAAAGTGCATCATTCGGTGATATCCTCCAGACACTTCCTGTAAGTCTTGGTCTGCTGCCCTCCACAGAGTACAATCTTTGGCCAACAGACATCCTTAGGATGTATCAAAACAGATGGAGCTTCCTGAAAAACCTCACTGATACGACTCACCACTGAGCACAATCAGCTGTCTCAATACTTCATTTCAAAAGATCACCCATCTTGGTAAAGTGACCCTTTTGTAGAAAAATGTCTATATCACACAGAGGAATTAAAATATACACTTTGAGGAGTGCAATTTTTGTTTCTAGGAAGACTTCTACACTTCCTGCAGATCAGCTTCAATCAGGCAATCTTTCTACTCTAAATCTATTTAATGCGGGTAAAGAAGGTCTGCTTTGTGGCTGTGAGATCTAAAAACTTCCCCTTCCTAAAGTTAGAACAATTCATGTGTCTTTTTGGAATAGGCAAAGTAGCTGAAAACCTGTAAGTCAATTTCTGCATATTTGATTTGCCACTGACAGTGGGTCAGCTGCTTTGTTTTTTAGGGAGACTGATCTCAGAGAAGTAGTATTGCATCTGCATTCTGACCCTTTCATGAAAAATCACAAGAAGGACTTCATTCACTTATCAGCAGACAAATCTGATAAGTGAATTTACCTGGAAATTCAGGGAGATTCTGGCTCTGAGTTATATGTTCACTGATCATTTATTGGTAAGGACAGTCTACAACTAGTGAAGCAGTTCAGGTTCGTCTCCTGTGAGCTCCCATTCAAAGCCTGTCCCAAATGAGCAGAGGTTGTAGAAACACAACCCACTCAGAACTTGCTTAATTCCCAGGGCAACTCACTTGCTCGACTTACTCCATACTGAAATTCACTTAAAAGACATTCCCTTAGGAAGCTCTCATCATTCTCTTTTGCAACACTGGAGACCTGGGTTTTGTTCTCAGTCAAATTTGAACATATCACATTCACATCACTGCCGTGGTGGTGTTCCTACATGTGAAATGCCCGTAATGCCAATAATGACATATATTTTGTATGTAAAATACTCTGAACTGAATTAACAAAAATACCATAAGCTTAAATATTTTATACGTAAAATAATATACATTATTCAATATTAAAACAACATTAAATTTTAAATTATGTATTAAATATATTATATATATTATATATGACATAAATGAATACATTGCATATTTTAAATATTAAAATGAATGACTACCAAAGAGATTTTAAAACTTTTGAACAGGTGTCAAACTGCAAAAGATCCCCACTACTACAACCTTAAGTGCATCCTCTGAATAATGTCCTTCATGCATACAGCATATTATGTCTGCAAGGTCTGCAGACTACTCAGGAACAGACACTGTGGACTGTACCACTGAAACTTGTACCCATGGATCAGGATGTGTTTCTTCCACATCTTCACCCAAATTATTAGTCTTCTTCAAAACCAAATCCCTACTTCCAAGATATTTGAATCTTTTGCTCCAGCCCACATTTAACTCACAGGCTGTTTTTGTAATTTAGACTGATAGTGCCCTGGCAAAAAGATGCCTTTGCACAGCACAGCCATGAAGCACTCAGTATGCCTGCACTTCTTTTCAGCAAGCCCATCAGGCTGGGTGGTGGAGGATGGTTATCGGAGGAAGATCAGGACCACCCACACAGCACAGCATTGCATCTTTCTAGCATTTAATCCAACTGGTCAGTAAACCCACCCCAACAGCATCAGATCTGCTAATGGGTTCCTCGGACGAAGGTAATGGCTTATGGGATTAGAACTATTTTGAGAGGTATTTCCCAAGTTTGAAATCTTTAAATTCTTTATCCTTCTATTTTCATATGGTTATTAAGTATTCCCATGCAAACATATCTTAAAAGCATCTATAAATTCATTGGTGGTGAAAAGGGCTCTCCATGTAAAATTATTTGGGAGTCACAAGCTGAAGTCTGCAAAATATTTAAATTTCTTCTCCTTTCTATTTTTTCATAGAAGTGTGCAAATGCAATTCAGTATCAAATTTGTATGACACCTAACTTAGAATAACATTTATGGGTGCAGTCAAACACCTGTCAAACATCTTTCCTTCTTGTATTAGGCATATAAAAAACCACCAATAAAATCAAATTAGATGTGTTATTACCAGGTAGATTCATTGGCAGACATATGAGAGATTTATTTCGATGGGGAGGTCCTTCACTGGTGTTTGCCAGCAGGCACATCCAGTCTGCTTGGCTCCCAGACGTAATCCACATCTTACCGCCATTTATGACATATTCATCACCTTTTCTCACAGCTGTTGTCTTGATATCTATTTCAAAACATAGGAAATGAAGGGTTATTCCTGTGAAGGGAAGACAAGTTGGTCCCTATACAACTGGCAGAGTCACTCTCTTGCTCTGATAGACAACTAATATTTGGTTCTCCCTCATACCTCCCAAGTCCTCTAACCATTCCAGGCACAAGGTAAACCAGTATGGACAACTCTTAGAAGACAATCCAGGGAAACAGGATCACTACTCTTACCCTCCTTTAGGTGGAGTCTTCATCCCAGTGGATGAAAGCAGAAAACTCCCTAAGTAAATGTGGTGGTCAAAAACTTGGGACAGAAGCATTCCACTCTGAGGTGATCTATTAGTGGTTCTGTGCACATTAGTCACTGAGGAGGCCTTTAATTTCAGAGCCCTGACTTAAACATAAATCTCAACACCTGTGTATGAATAAAGATATATCTACGTGCACTTCCTGAATGTTCTTGGTCAGAATGGTGCAATAAGTTCAAAGCTGGTTAACTATCAAAAGGCTAAGTCTAAATGCTATGAATGGCTGTACATGATGGAGTTCTAAACACCTACTATTTATAGCCACTGGCAAAAAATTATTTTCTTCCATGTGTTTGCACAGCCCTGGCTGCAACAGACAGCCAGAGTGAATCATTAGTTATTATTTACACTTCAGCAGAATTTCCAAAGAACTGGCTTTTTTCCCCTGCAATTGAACTTCTTCAACTAGAACCCCATCTGAGGAAGACTCTCCAATATATCCAGCTATAAATTGGTGATGTATAAGAGAACCCCACCATACCCCTAATAGCATCTATAAATCTAACTAGACTATAAAGTCTGTAAGAGCCCACCTACTGAGGAAAACTGTAGATTTGGAGAGTGGGAATCAGAAAGCAAAGTGGAAGCACATTTGAGTCATCTGGTTATACTTTCATACACACTCAATCTGCACATGAATGTTCTTCCAAAGGCTCTAAATACAAACCAAAAGCAAAACCAAGTATCTGATCTTCATTTACAAGACAAACTAGGACTGAGGTAAGCATGGCTGAAAAACAGTCTTATTAATGAAGGAACAGGGGAAAAATGATGGGAAAAAATTGTATAAGGTATAAAACAAAGGAGTATGGGATATAGCTACGGCTAAAGGAATGTACAAGCAGATAATGATGAACAGCAAAGAGATAGTACTAATGTGAATAAAAACAGCAGCCATAGAGCAATTCAGTCTGTGAAAGGACTATACCAAATCTGTCCAAGGGACTTGATATGAAATCTGTATAATAATGAAGTCCAAGAAAGTGAAGGAATCTAAAGTACTGACGCTCATAATACATGGACACAGACACTAGACAATCATATACATGGAGACTAAATAACAAGCGAAGGACATAAAGAGCTGGAAAAAAAAATACAGCTATACTGAAATAGTGTTACAGGGATGGCAGCATACACAGCAATTTACATCACACACGTCTTTGTTGTGGAACAGCTACTGAAGAGATTAGATAGAGGTTCCATGGAAGGTCTGCAGAGGAATAATGAGCACTGTGATGTTACCACAAATGTAAATAGTTCTTGCAAGCATGGCGTCACAGGCTGCTAGTCACCCAAATACAGATTAAAGAACAAATGCCTTACTAATGAGAATGTTCAAGTACTCTCAGATTCAATGGTTGACATTTTACTTCAAACACTTGAGAAACAACTATTAAAAATGAACATATGAAGAGTTGATTCTTTTTAATTAGAGGAAAGATTATCAAGTCAATATGTTTTATGTTTAAAATACAGCAGGCTTTGAAAACCTACTTAACAACTTACTAAAGTCAGGTGGACTCAGTCTCAGGGATATGGCTATGAAGATAATTTGGAATGTTTGACTAACTATTCTCCCTGATAGAGCATAGCTCTGGGAAAAGCCTACTTCAGCGAGTAATTCATTTTTGCAAGCCCACACCACTGACTCTCTAGATTTTCTAACTCAACAACTTACAGAGCATGCTGTAAGAACCCCTTCTGTGAAAGAGCACAAGGCATTACTGAAAGGCATATGATACAGTTAGTGCCATATAAGCAATCAGAGCTGGTCACTTCACTACTCAAATCACATATACTCGAGCCTCAATTTTCTTTTCCACTGTTCTCTTGAGTCCAGCCATGCTCTAAACAGATTTGACTAAAGGCAAGGTTGGCTCCAACTTTCAAGGTTAATGTTAAATCAAAGATAAGCAACATATATTCTCAAAGTAAAATACGAAGAACACATATCTGGAATTTGCATCATTAGCAAAGGAAAAAAAAATCCAAACTTTAAAGAAATACCTTCAAGTCTAACTGAATGAATAATCACTTCAAAAAAACATGAGATGACCTGCAGGAAAGGAACAATTAATCATCAAAGTAAGCTACAGTTTGGAGGTCAGAAATAAGAACCGTGACGAGTCAAACAAAGTTAAATCTTTTAGATGAGAACTAACAAAATCAAAGAAGATTGAGGTGGCAAACAAAACTCTTTTAGCCACAGAAATAAAAAGTGAATGGGAAAAAAATGAGGCATATAGAAGACACCTCAAAAAGTAAATATTCCACAGGAGATTACAGAGAGATTCACGATATAGATGACAAAGTAAAACAGCTACAGGAAGGACTGTACAGAAATTGAAATTAGTGTAAAGAGAGGTTGCTGGTTTTGGCAATCTGTGCAGCCTCAGAATACATTTGTAAAGAAAAGAGAATTCAATTTTTCTGTGATATCTTGCTTAAACCCACCTGATTTATTATGAAAAGGTATTTTCTAGAGAGGAGCAGAACATGAAAAATCCTGTTAGACCACTCAAGCTAAAATTGACACTTCTAGGTAACTATGAATTAAAATTTGAAAAGAATTAGGAAAAAAGTGGGAATGTGCGTAAGGACCTAGTCAAAAGGGGAAATTGCATCAGGTTACATTAAAAGAGGAAGTGCTGATGTGCAGGGAGGGCACCGGTTGAGGTCCTCATTGATTATGAGCCTTTGGACAAAACTTATTGAATATTTCCATTAATGATCTTTAAAAGGATAGGAATACACTAAAGAAATTTGCAGGTGACACAAACCTGGGAAACATCATCAACACAGACAACTGAGATATTGCCTAGCAAGAAAGGAAAGATCTTTTTTCAAATTCAACATGGTAAGTACAAGTACCTTGACCCAGAAAAACAGGACTGGATTCCACTGAGACAAAATGGGGCAAGATATCTATGTTGAAGAGGTAGATATGAACAGCCTTATTAGGTACAGTTGCCTGGAAGATAGAACTTGAAGAAAGAGGAAGTGTCTTCCATGCTGTGTTCTTACATATCCCCCACAGATAATCCGCAAAACATTCTATAAATTGTGGAATAGTAGTGAGATAGAATGAGACAAAATCATTAAAACTAACACAAATGTGTATGATTTGTGGTACCAAGAATCCAATCATTAAAACTAACCCAAATGTGTATAATTTGTGGTACCAAGAATCCTGAAATTAAAGACATATTTCATACCAACCGTACTGTACCGTTCTTCTTCTCAAGCCAAATCTGTACCAGATTTGTTGCACATAGTCATTGTACTATGTATATTGTATTATGTACAATATACAACAACTAAATTTGAAAGCAGACAGGTGTTTCCTCAAATTGACATGAATTTTGTATTAGACTAATGGTCACAGTACTTTTTGTTCTGATGAATTTTGAATAAATTAGTTTAAGGCACATTTCAGTTCTCATGTAGATAAACACTTCCTTTTTCTTCCGTGTTCATATCACCTTCAGTAATCTTGGAACTGGCAGCAGAAAATGCTAGAGATACCTTCCTCTGTGTCATTATTAAGTATAAAATATACCAGCTCACAGAGCAGAAGCATGTCCCCAGCTCACTATGTCCCTCCACTTATCTGAGGGAGACAAACATCCTAAGAGCATAAGAAACCAAAGCAAGTACCACGAGCAGCTTCACACAGCTCAGTCTGCTTTAGAGCTGGACCACCTGAAGATGGTATATTCTCTACCTTGTGCAAAACAGTGCTACTCAGAACACAAGCTAGTGCTGCTCATTACTAAGTTGTCCATTAAATTATTCTTTGGAAGCACCGTAAGTTGTTTCTGAATTTATACCAGTAATCAGATCTTCCATGACAGGTTAGAAAGCATTGTCATTTCACCCTGCAGTCTGCCTTCAAGCTGCAGCATAGGTTCATCAGATAATCCTAGTTGATTCCAAATTTGTTTGTAATTGCATTAATTCAGGTATATCATACCAATTAAACTAGATGATAAACAACAAGAATATTTATGTTACTTATTATCTGGAACACTGCATCAAACAAATTATATCATAGTTAGAAATTTCTGATAATCACCTAATTAAACTAGAGAGGCATTCATTAAAATAAATGATGTTGTATTTCCTACATTAGCAAAATTCAAATTTCTGATTGTTTTAATGAAAAACAAGTCTATAAAAATTATGGAATTTTTCTTATGAACAAATTCAATTAACTAGAAAGGAAAACAGCAATGATCATTTAGTCCCATTATTTCATTATCCCCATTAACTCTCTTGAAATCACCTATTGCACCACTGCTCGAGCACTGGAAAATTATCTATTTGTCTTGAGACAATGACATGAGTTGGGTCAAGGAGATAGACATAGGACTCCTCTGATCAAGAAACTTCTGTCAAACTCAGTAAGTTTGTCTACAGGAAGACATTGTCTCAGGAATTTTTAAGAGCACAATATGTTCAAATTAGCCATGCTCTGTTCAATAAGTAAGCCTCTAAAAGTGGTTTCTTATCAATCCCTTTTCCTTGAAGCCCATGATTCATTGTCAGAAGAGACATCTTTCACGTCTTCTACAATGTGTTTTAATTTAATTCTTCAAATTTTCTACTGCCTCAGGCACTTCAGAATAAAAGTTTCATTTGTCCGTATTTTTAAACATATTCTTGCACTAAAACAAGAAAAAAAGATGCATGCGAAGTAACTAAATCACAAAGCTAATAGATCTGACATGCCAAATTCTTCATTAGCTCTAAATAAAATAATCACCAATTCAGAGATATTTTTGCTTCTCAGGAATGACAGAAGGGGCTGTGGTGAATTAAGGATGAGCGAGAGGAACCCATTGTGAAAGTGATGCCATCACTTTCAGAACAGCGTGGCTCCACAGTTTGCCCACATTTAATGGAGAGGTCTGTTTTAAGGCAGTGCAAGTTTTAGTACATTTGAACAGCTCATGTTACCTGTCATGTACATGTGCAAATTTGCATGCCTGACAGTGGCTGTGCAACTAACACAGTGCTGGAGCGCTCTGGCCAGGGGTGAGCCCGGACAGACCAGGGGAGGCAGCAGCAGGACAACACCAGGAGAAAACTGGGGCCAGCACAACAGCTGCATTTAGCCTAGATAAGGTTATAGCTATTGATTCACCTGACAAATACATTAAATTTAATTGATTTTGGATGCATCAGAAGCATGTATTACCGCTCCTGGAATATTACTTTTTGCCCTCACCACACCAGACTTTCTATCCTTTGTGTTTCTTACAAATAAATGATAGTGGCAAACAGAAGGATCAGGTAAACACGATTTTTTCTATTAAAATACCAGGCTGTCTAAAGTTGTCAGTTTGCTAGGTTAACTTACTTGCAACATCAGATCCAGCTCCAGGTTCACTGATTCCCAAGCAAGCCACAAAATCACCAGCTATAGTTGGTGCAAGGAACTGTTTTTTCAACTCATCAGAACCAAACCTGCAATAATATAATGAAAAAGATAGGATCTTAAAAGCTTTTAAGGTAAATTTTATTTAGAAGTTAGTTACAAATTTTTCTCTACCATACAATGATCAATTTTCCTATGACTAGGTAAAAGCTGTCCCAGAGCTAAAAGAGAGAATTGATACCCTCTAAAGGGTGATTCTATGACACTATGATTCAGAATTTTCACCAGAAACGCAGTCACAATCATTTCAAACAAGTTTTAATGAGTATTCAGGCATCTTACTCCCACAGAAATGTGTGGTCCAGATGCCCAAAATCTATCTTTATGACTGTTGTTTTGAAAGCTACCAGAACTAAATAAACATAACCCCTGAGGTCTCCCCTCAATGCTCCTGCACCAGTCTACAGTCAGCCAGGATGGAGGACCTGCTCTCTGTACATCTTTTGACTTTTGCACACGCCAGCTCTTTGCCAGGATTTAGTGGTGACTGAAAAGTTATGACGTGTGATGGACACCTTCTGCAAATATCAGTATTTAAATTATTAGTATTTCACATCTGCATTTAAATCACACAGTGAAATCCATTAGTCCTTCTTCTCAGCTGTCCTTCTAGTCTCCACAAAAATAAAAAAGGAAACAGCAAAGTGTTGATGGCATTTTAACACAAAAAATTCACTTGGCCACGTTTTCATCCCGTTAAGGGACACATGCTATTTTCCCTTGCTTGCATCCATTCAAAATTTAGCTGCTTGCATCCATTCAAAATATTTCATGATTGATTCTGTCCTAATTAACATTCACTGATTTTGTCTTGCAGTGTGAATTGTGAGTTTGTGGTCTAGTTCTTGAACCTCTCTTGTGCAACTGAAAAATTCCTCAGGTCATGTAATGAGTTTTCTGTGTGCAGAAATCCATAAAAGTCAAGTTCTTCCTCGTCTTTGGTATGAGGCTTCTCAGGTCATCATTGCCACTCATCTCCTTGGGCTCACTGGCTGCCTAAGAAAACTGCAGTTACCTGGGCTCTCCTTCTAAAATATTGTCCCAGTACTTCAAAAAAGTGATGCCATTCTAGTTAGGACTAAGCTGTCCCTTCCAGTCCAACCCTGGCACAAAGGACATAGGACAGCCAAGGAACAGTCTGGGAGCTGGCAGACACTTTCACTTAGTTCACAGAGGGAGCTCAATTCCTATTTCTGTCTCTGCTGATAATCACTGCAGGAATCCCAAATAAATACAAGAAGCAAGTCTCCAGCATACTTGAACAAAGTCCTCATGGCTGTTATGTAGTGTAGTGCTTTTTTTTTTTTTTTTAATTTTCCTTGGGACATGATCAAGTATGGCCAGCTGAACATTCATTAGTCAGAAAAAAAAAAAAATCCCAACCAACAACATGGAAAATCAAATTATGAAAGTAGCTAGTGGGGATTTTTGGTAACGCTTTCTGACGCTTGAAACTTTGCCAGCCTTTAGTTTTTCAACTGAGGATTTTCACAGTAAGAACTTTTCTCAGAATAATGTTTTTGATTTGATATCTTTGTTTGTATTAAGTTCCAGAAAACTGTTCAGTTCTTTCCAAAAATGAGGTCAGAGAAGAAGTTATTTTGCAATTAAAGAAGTCTGGCAACACTATTTTCATACAATCATGGGTCTCTTTGCCTTGCAGGAAGCAATGCAGCTCAGCAAGAAGCTAGCTATTGTGTTAGAAATATGTAATTTCTGTAAAATTCTACCCATCTTATATGCATCCCAGAAAAATCTCAGTTTTGCACAAATGCAATACCCACTTCTTCCTAGTTTAACAGCTCCAGAATTAGAAAACTGTTTGTAATGAGATCATGCTCTGGCTCAACACAGACATGCTTTCTGAGCTGGGGCCACATCCCTGAGCAGTTTCCCATGTGATTAACTGTGCAGACTTAGCATCACTCTAAAATACATTTCTATGCATGTGTGTATGCATACACACACGAGTCTACAGTCAGTAAACCTTGCTGATGCTGAGTAACCCAGAAGTCCCAAGTGTGAGATTCTGACACAGGGCATTGCACGAAAGTGATCCATCCTTTCTTGCTCCACATTTTATAAGTAACATTGGGGTGATGTCATGAAAACAAAGACAAAATGCCAGTGGTATACAATCTTGTAAACAGAGGGTAAAAGGAAAATAAAACCATGGCAAAATACAGAGGTAAGAACACTTCCATGATCCACACAGTTACCTTTATATGTTTGGATTGTCAGCTGCTGCTTCTCTCCTTTACAGCAAACAAGAAATCAGACAGTAAAACTAACTTTTTGGATATTAATTCCCAGGTATGCTGCTGTCTAGGGTGGAGAAAGAATCAGTGACAGGTAAGCTGATGAAATAGAAAAGCACTCTCTTCCCACTAAATAGTCATCATTATCCTTACTGTTTTCCTATAAATGATAGGGAAAAAAAAAAAGGAGAGTTCACTGCCTACTGCTGAGATAAAGCAGCTCTACATTGATCTGATATCACTCTGGATTTGACACCCTACGGGTTTGTTTATAAGGTCTGACAAATGTGTATCCTTCACTTTCTCAGCTAAGAGTTGCTTTCTTCACTCTACTTCTAAGTAAGCAACTGAAGTATTAGATCTGAATGCATTTGGAAGACCTGACAGAAAGTTATGTTCTGAACCAGGTCCATTTGTGAATTATCTCTTTGAGCTTGTCTAGAATTGCCACAGTACACAGATATCTTTATAGAAACCATCCCTAGGCAAAATTTCCTGTAGCAACCAGCTTTCTCTTTTCATTACCAAGTTTCACTTCTACATGTGAAGAGTGGGACATTTTACTGTATAAATAGACAGTGGAATTGACTTAACAGTGGGTGGAAAATTCACTAATACAGACACAAATTCAGTTAACAGATTTCATCAACTTAACAATATTTTCACACTTATTTTCCAAGAACATCCCCTCTAGGATTTCACTAGCAGAAATGTGCATAGCTTCACTGCTTTACTACAGAAGACCAAAAAAACTGCAGTGAAACAAAATCACGTCTTCTTTTACCCACATATTTTCTTTAAACCCCTGGAAATAAAAAGCTGCCATGAGGGCAAGGTACTATTCTCTGAAGTCTTTTAAAATACAATTTTTATTATCTGTTGGACTATAACTAAGCTGTTTTTTCAACAGACATAGTGAACTCCATGCTTGCAGCAAGCTTTTGGTGTATTACACAAAGGAGAAGAAAACTTTAGGAAAAATTTGCCATAGATGAGACCTCCAAAGTCACACATACCGAGCAGAAGGATAAGTGGATGTCAAGGGAATAGAGCTTACATTCCAGACTACAGTAGATGTAGAGGCGTTTTCATTCGGGGGGGAGGGGAAGGGAATAAAGCTGAAAAAACCACCAACAAATAACCCAACCCTAAAATGCTCTTCAGAGCAAAATTTCCCCTCATGTATATCTGTTTTGTGCAGAGAAATTCCCAATTTCATGATAATCATTTGAATTTCATTCCTACCCCCATCTTCCAAAATTTTAGGCATATCCATATTCCAGGGTCAAACGGTTGGACCAGCCTGTTGCCTCCCTCTAGTTTTGCAAACTGATGTTATGATGTAGAATGATTGTGAAACTATTACATGAAGAATTTGGTAATTGTCACTTCTATTGAGGGAGGAAAAAAAGAACAACAAAAGAGGTTCAGAAAGTACAGGAGCCTGAATGACAGCAAGTGCTAAAAAAAAGGAACGCTGACATAGCAGTTAAGAAAAAGTAAAATGATTATTTGCATGGAATGGGTATATTTAGGAAGCATGATACATCTGCTACAACTTTAGGACATAGAATGACTCCTTGCAAAGCTGGAAAAGAGGAAGTAAACTATAAACCAGAATTAGACTGGTTACATCATTACAACTAAATGCATCCTCAGTATGACTGCACTGGGAATATCTACCTAAGAAAAAAGACAAATATGAACAGAGGGATTCTGGAATTAAAAATTTTCTATTGGCTGTGACACCAACGTTTTGTGTTTGTAAACATATCATCTACTACTAAACAAGGCTTATGTTTAAATATGTAATAATCTAACATTAAAAAAATTTTCTTCCCTAAACCAAACTGTCTGAGAGAAGTAAAGAGTGGGTTCCTTCCTCAAGCATTACTGAAGAGCGACTGCACAGTATTGTTTTTTCCTGCTCTTATACAGACTGGGTTTAAGGCCTAAACCTAAAACAATTTGGGTTTTAGGCTAAACTAAATTTTCTGAAAATTACCTTGTAAGAGCAGGAGTAGCCATGCCAGCTTGCACTCCAATAGCCATAGGAATACCTCCACAGCGGATATTTCCCAGTTCTTCTGCCACTGCAATATTATAGGAGAAGTCCAAGCCCATGCCACCATATTCTGAGGAAAAAACAAATCTATGATTCTCATGTTCTAGACTGGCATAAGCAACAAGAAAAAAAATAGTATTGCTACTGCAAGGACTTGCCAACTGAAATCTCACTATTAATTTTTAAGTATTTGACAATTACCATCTTTCCTTTCACAAAAGTGATACCACACTATTCTAAATTGAGAATTACACCTGCTCCAATTACCTGTGTGCACATCAGGTCACCTCTAAATATCCTAAGTAGCCTCATTACTTTTACTGGAAATGGCAGGAAGAAGTGACATGCTGCTGAAAACAACATCAGAAGGCAAAATTATTCTTTCTAACAGTAAGGTCATATGAACAAATCACTCCACGAGGTAATAAGTGCTTTTATTTCTCCATGATAATGCCTGACACTGGCTCTCACCCCGCAATGCAATCATTTTTCTCAGACGCAACACTCAAGTCAGCACAGAGCAAGACCACAGGCAGGTTGTGTTTGTATGCTGAGTTACTGACATAGCTCAAAGTCCAGGATTAGACACAACTACAATACAATGAACATGTGCATTTCATATCCCGGCCCTTGGTCTGGGCAGTCATTAAAGCATTCTTCGTTAGCAGGAGGCTGACGACCTGGGGTGCTGGCCAGGTCCCAGCACAGGCCAGTGCTCCGCCACACACACACATTCCAATCTGAAAATTCAATTAAAGAGGAAATTATTCTTCACCTTATTTCCATGGCCACTGATGATAAACCCACCATGTAGTGAAGCACAGAAAAGGGCTACATTGCTATAATGGATGGTAGTTTCTAGTTGCATTAAATAGCTCGTAGTCCAAAGGAAATATGGTGAGAAAGTGAAGGTTACTGCTTGACGTCGTTGGTTGACTGAGAAGCTTTGATTAGATAACATTTCCTCTTTTTTTTTTTTTAAACTCATTTGAAGACTGATGAAGAAAATGTCAAATAAATAGATATAACCCCCATCCCTCACCCACACAATACAGGCCTTTCTCTTTTCGCTCGCTGACATCAAACACTGAGTTCACCTCTCTACTGACCTGCTCTGAAGTTTTCAAAAAGCACCACTAAATAAAAGTCAAAACACCACAGTGCGTATAAACACAGGGCTTTGCATGCTATCATCTGTTTTGCAAACCCACAGAAACTATCTTTGTGCATCCTTTTTCTGCTGAAAGAAAGGAAAACATAAATGGAAAAGGCTAAGCATAAGTTCAGTTTTCAAACAGCATTTCTTCTTGGGTCATTCTGAATAGTCTGGATTGTCAGCATTAAAAATTGGCTACTTTTCCAGACTTTTGTCTGAAAGGAATGTTTCTTAGAAATATACACAAAATTCAAGTTCCTACTGGGAGCTTAAGCAGTGAAAGGAAAAAACCAGCACTAGGGGAATGTGTTTAATATAATAGATAATCCAATTCTCCTGCCTTTACAAAGCCCCCATCAATAAATACATGCTCTGAGGAGCAGTAAGGAATGTATGTGCATGTAAAGACAGGAGTATTTAAAGATATCTGGCATGAGACAGTTTTCGCTAATTTTATATGAATCCATAGTAGAGTTATAATACCTAACCTCAGTTTTGGCACCACACATATGCTTTTCAATTCATTTTTTTTTTTTAAATCTGTCATTATTTTTATTGCCAAACTTCAGTTATTACTGATTTTATCTTTTGTTTCATCTACCAGGTAGTTATATTCCTGTCTTTCACTTAAATGTCACAAATCACAACCTTAGTTTTTTTGATTTGCATGCACAAAATTGACCCAAAGAAGGACCACTTTATCCAAGTACATGGCTTACAGGCGTTCTTTGTCCATACCACAGTTCATTACATATTACCATGTAACAGCCTGCCTTGCTCTTATTTGAGATTAGTTACTACGCAGCACATTTTAAAAACAAAATGCTGCAAAAGGCCAGCTCTCAAAGGGAGAAGGAATTTCCTACCAAAGGGAGTAAAGGAGCAGAATGAAGCTTTGGGAGCCAGAGGTGGAGGGGGAAGCCCTTCCAGGCAAAGAGATGATAAAATCCGAAGATTTTATAATCTGGAAATAGATAACACAAGAGACATCCACAGATGCAGGCAGGCAGGAAGGGCAGAAGCAAATGGTAAAAACATTAATCAGACCACACCTAAGCTTTCATTAGGTCTGTTCCAGGAGCCAAGGAGATAGAAATTCAGGGAGAAATGTGAGTGGTTGGATGGACAATTATAGGGAATGCCTCTTTTGAACCGAAAGTACTTGATCGAGATAGAGATTCACTTATCAGTGCAGTCTGTGCCGCTATATCCTCAGCAGTTTGGGTAACGTGCCATGGCTGATGGGACAGTTGTGTCCCATCTCTTTGGAGAATTGGACCTCTGCTCCAAGACAGGCTGCCAGCGATATCACACACAGTAACAGCATGCAATGCTGGCTCCAGTACTGAAGGAACTTTCTTTCTTCCCCAGCACATGGGTGGCAGCCTGGTTCTTGCAGCCCCGCTGCCGGGCATTCCAGCTGGCTATTTTGGGGCCTGTCTGAGCACACTGCCTTGTGTGTCACGGGACTCAGCCCTTAAACTGAGAAAAAAACCACCAGGCTGTTCTTATTTCCACCTGCTGCAGTGATGCTGGTGGATGTTTAATGGAATAAATGTTTAGGTTTTTTATGGAATGAGACTTACTCTTTCTGGAATAACTCTTACTTGCAAAAAGAGAATATACTGTTGTTAGGAGGGTCATGTTTGCCAGTCTCATCAACAAACACCACCTCCTGGAAGTATCTGTAACATGATGCAATGCTAATAGGCCAATTAAATTTTCATTCAGAAAAGTGAACATCATGCCTAACATAATTTTTGGTGAAACATCCATAAGGAAAGGAACCAAATCAATTCCAGATTTGATTGCTCAAAAAAAAAAAAAAAGGGAATAAAAAGCTATATATAAATATTCACTCTCAAAACATTTCTAGGGTAAATATTTCATCTAAATTTAAAACAAGATGAGGTACCTTTAAAGAATTCTTTGGCTACATTACTGTTTTTAATTTACAAGAAACTTAAAAGAACAGACCAAAGACAAGCTCGGCAGAAAGTCTAATGCACTAATGCTTTTATAATCCAATACAGGTAGAAGAAGGCAACTGCTATTTTCAAAGTGGTTTTGATGACAATAGAACAATTTCCAGCTGTTAAATGGCTTAATTTGATATCACATCCATTGTTTGATTTCAGGTTAAATTACAGAACCCTAAGTGAGAACACAGGAACATACAAATAAATAAAAATACAAATAAATAAAAAATCTGCACAACAAACTACAGGCAGGACCCACATTGGAGGAGGTAAAAAGTGTGAGAAGGAAAGTGTAGCAGTGAGAAAACGCTGTAGACTGACTGCAATCTCCTGTCCCCAAGCCCCTGTGCCGTTTGGGGTGCGGAGGGAGGTAGATGACTCAGGAATGAAGAACTGAAGCTGAGCTTAGAGGCGAGGCTGGGGGAACATGTTTTAATTTGCCTTTGTTCCTCACTACATAAATCTATTTTAATTGGCAGGAAATTGCAATAATTTTCCCCCAGCAAGTCTGCTTTGGCCATGATGGTAACTGCTGACCAGTATCACTGACTTTTTCAAGACAGCCAAGCCTGGCCATTGTATTTTTTCCCCTGTTCCTGCTGAGGAGGAGGAGTGAGTGAGAGGCTGGCCAAGGCAGGCCACCACACCACAGTCAGTATATTAACCTATTCTTTTAAATTTGCTCTGTGCTTTTCTACCAATCACAATCATCACCACATTATTTTAAAACTCCCAGCCCCCAAGAGCTCCTTACTTCATACAGACCAGCAAATTTCTAATGTTAAGTTTGTGACACTAGCAGTGGAGTCCAAGAGAACACAGTGAGTTTTAAAAAACATTGTTTTTAAAAGATGCAGGTGTACATTCTACTAAATCTGATAATTAAGGATATCAGGACTTTTATGCATGAATATAGGCACAGAGCATAGATGACGCCCAAAACTACAAACAGAAGTACAAGACTACCTCATCTTCAGCTGCAACATGTCAAAACAGAAACACTGCTGGAAGATCAGCTGGGAAAACAAAAGAAAGGACTCATAAAGGCAAATGAGAAGCTAAAGTCTTTCATATAATCATTTCATTTTTATGAAGATCAAGGCATTTCTTGTCACTTGTTCAGGCTCCCTATTCAAACATGACTCTGTGCAATAATGAGAGAGGCTCAAAGTCTCTAGTCCAAATTTTGTAAAAGTTTAGAAGTGTCTCTATTTGAAATTTGCTTCTGAACCCCATCTAGTAACTGCCAGTGAGAATGACACTATCTGTGGTGAAAAGCGTCTGTAAGTGAGCTGAGACAAGGTGAAACAGGGGGCCTTCAGAGTGTTTTAAGAATGTAAGTGAGCCTTGAAAAACTTTCCAAAGTTTGCAAAAGTGTATCTACACCAAAGAAAATCACACAGTATTATTTCCACCATCAGCACCTACCTCAGTGCGAGAACAAATAAATGTGTGCTTTCTATTTCTAGGGACTAGAAAGGCAAATAACACATGAATAAAGTCCAGTTTTGAAGACAGGCCTGAGAGACTCCTACATCCGATACTAGGATGACAGAGCTAATTGCCAGTTTTAATCACAGCCCACAATTTAAAATCAACAGAAGCAAAATTAAAGTGCTCAAACCTTACTCACCTGCCATAAATATAGTTCAAGAATTTTAACTACAAGGAACTACAAAGAGCCCTGAATTAACATAACTGCAAATGTCATCAGGTAGGACAGTACAGAAATCCTACCATAATTCCTTTCCTCTTCTTTATACAAAAGGAACTTAAAGAATTACCAGAGGTGTACTCTCTGTGTTATACAGTTTCCCATAAACCAAATCTGAAAAGCTGAAGAAGCTCAAAAAACACCTCCTGCCTTCTTGGTTATTTGCTCTGGCTGGGTGTAGAGGAAAAAACCTCTCATTTTGTGTAACAGAAACACCGTGA